AAAAAAAAAAAAAAGAAAAAGAAAAAAAAAAGAAAACGGACCAATCAGGGATGCACTGGAGGAATCGCCAGAAGTCCACATGAGGAGACAGCACAGTGCCAGTGTCTTTCCCCGCACCTGTTCGATTCTTTTGGCTACTGGAGCCTCTGTTGGGGGAGGGAAGCTCCCCCTTTTGCTCCAGGCTGCTGGTTTCTGTGCAGGTCTTCTAGCGTGGCTCTACTGGAGCCTTTGGTGGGGGAGCAAAGCTCCCATCTGCTTGCTCCAACCTGCCGGTTCCTCTGCTGGCTGCTGCCACCAAGACAGAGGTGGCAGGTCCCTAAGCCCAGCTTGGCTGAGCTGGCTGGGGCGCCACTTTTCCAGTATCACTAGCACTCTTGAAGACAAAGGTGGGTGGATTGCCTGAGCTCAGGGATTGGAGACCAGCCTGAGCAAAAGGGAGACCCTACCCCCTTTCTAAAAAATAGCCAAGTATTGTGCCTGGCACCTGTAGTCCCAACTACTTGGAAAGCTGAAGCAAAAGAATTGCTTGAGCCCAAGAGTTTGAGGTTGCTGTGAGCTACGAAGCCATGACACTCTACTGAGGATGACCAAGTGAGACTCTGTCTCAAAAAAAAAAAAGAAAGAAAGAAAGAAAAGGAAAGTACTGGCCAGGCATGGTGGCTCACGCCTGTAGTCCTAACACTCTGGGAGGCCAAGGTGGGCAGATTGCCTAAGCCCATGAGTTTGAGACCAGCCTGGGCTAGAGTGAGACCCTGCCTCTGAAAAAAACAACAACAACAACCTAGTATTGTGGCAGACACCTGTAATCCCAGCTCCTCAGGAGGCTGAGGCAAGAGAATTGCTTGAGCTCAGGAGTCTGAGGCTGCTGTGAGCTATGAGGCCAAGGCATTCTACCAAGAGCAACAAAGTGAGACTCTATCTAAAAAAAAAAAAAAATACCATCTCTACTGTAAAATAGAAAAACTAGCCAGGCATCATGGCAAGGTCTTGTAGTCCCAGCTATTCAGAAGGCTGAGATAAGAGGTTCCATTAAGTCCAGGAATTTGAGATCGCTGTAAGCTATGTCTACTTGGGAGACTGAGGTAAGAGAATCACTTGAATCCAAGAATTTGAGGTTGCTGTGAGCTATGACACTACAGTACTTTACCAAGAACAATAAAGTGAGACTCTGTCTGCAAAAAAAAAAAAAAAAAAATTATTGGCAATTAGTAACATTAATAAAGAATTACAACTGGCTCAGCGCCTGTGGCTCAAGTGGCTAAGGCACCAGCCACATACACCTAAGGTGGCAGGTTCGAATCCAGCCCAGGCCTGCCAAACAACAATGATGGCTGCAACAAAAAAAAAATAGCCAGGCATTGTGGCAGGCATCCATGGTCCCAGCTACTTGGGAGGTAGAAGCAGGAGACTCGCTTAAGCCCAAGAGTTGGAGGTTGCTGTGAGCTGTGACACCACGGCACTCTACTGAAGGTGACATAATGAGACTCTGTCTCAAAAAAAAGAATTACAACTGGGAGTCAGAACACCTGAATCCTAGTCCAAACTAAACCTTAAATTATACATACATATATATTTATATATTTATTTTAAAATTGACAAAATTATACGTAATTATGTGAAATATAATATATATAATATTTTTATATATTTATGTAAAACATGAAGCTTTGAAATATATACACATTGCAGGATAGCTAATGAAGCTAACATGGATTACCTCATAAACTTACCATTTATTTGTGGTGAGAATATTTAAAATATATTCTCTCTTTTTTTTTTAAACATCATTATTTTTATTTATTTATTTTGCAGTTTTTGGCCAGGGCTGGGTTTGAACCTACCATCTCTTGCATATGGGGCCGGCGCCCTATTCTTTTGAGCCACAGGTGCCGCCCCCTAAAATATATTCTCTTAGTAATTTTTTTTTTTTTTTTGAGACAGAGTCTCAGGCTGTAGCCCTGGGTAGAGTGCCATGGCGTTGTAGCTCACAGCAACCTCCAAATGAGGCAAAAAAATTAAAAAAGCAGTTCTAAAAGAGTCCATCCTAGCCACCCTGTGTAGGCCTCAGCCAAGCCTCAGGCGTTCCTATTGTCTGCCTGTTTCTCCCCTGACATACTCCAGGCCTAGATTGTAATCTAGTAACTCCTTTAGACTTCCATTGCCTTTGAGGGCAGATGGCCCGACCGGTGTCAAGGACGCGGGCGAATCTGACTTTCCCCTTGAGCCCAGGACCTTGAGGATGATGTCATAACTCACTCTTTATTTTATGACCCTCACTCTCTGTCTTATGACCCTCACGTGCACTCCCACCCTGAAAAGTGGATAAAAGGGAGGCAATGGATTGAGTTGGGGGGCTCGGTTTTGGGAAACACGCTGGTGTTCCGAGTACCGCCGGCCGAATAAACCCACTTCCTCTAATCAACTGATGCCTGGAGTCTTCTGTCTGCGTCGGTTTCCTGCTACATTTCTTGGTTCCCTGACTGGGAAGCGAGGTTTGGCAGAAAAACCATGCAGCCAGATTCTTTGGGTGAGGTTCTGCCCGCCCCGTGGATCACCCCGTGGAGAACTCCAGTTGGTTTGGCGATGCGGTCCTCAGAGGGCTCCTGGGACAAATTTTCCCAGAGGAACCATCTCATTGAGGCTGACCTGGTGAGGTCCCTGTGGCGGGTCACTGTGGAGGCTGAGCACCAGAGAGGAACCGGTAACAGGTGGCGCCAGGACATCCAGAGTAAGGTAGGATCCTTTTGAGGCCCACTACATCTTTAGTAGGAGAGGGAGTCTGATCAACCCCTGGGCATTAATTTGCCAGCAACTGGAAAGTGTGTGTAAGAGTGTGGTATGGGCTCAGCGCCTATAGCTCAACCGGCTAAGGCGCCAGCCACGTACACCTAAGGTGGCGGGTTCGAATCCCCAGCCCGGACCCGCCAAACAACAATGACGGCTGCAACCAAAAAATAGCCGGGTGTTGTGGCAGGCGCCTGTGGTCCCAGCTACTTGGGAGGCGGAGGCAGGAGACTCGCTTGAGCCCAGGAGTT